ACGGGGGCTCTCATACTCATCTTATCTAGAGTAATTTCTTGATTCAACTGACAAATAAATTGTTTCCAAAATGTATAACATCCATAGAAGACATACATAGAAGATTTATTTTTTAAAGGAGAAAGATTTGTGCCAAAGGGAAAGAAACACAGCTTCTTTACCACAACTGAAGCACTCTCATTAACAGGTGGGAAAATACTTTAAATTCCTATTTGTGGAAATATGGGTTATTCCACAGTTAATCTTTCGTTACTTTTTAGTTGATCACCAATCTCACTGGGTTATTTAGTTATTTGTCTAACACACTGCTAAATACTGCCAAGCTGACAGGGAAAGCAGAATCTCAAGAGTGAATTTAGGCAAATAAAAAGCCAAATCTGAAGCACAAGAATGAAAAAAACAGAACTGTACAATAATCACATTATCAGCTCCTCTGGTAATTCTTTTTTACTTTGTCCAACTACACATATGAATACATGGAGACACCCCTTTTCCAAAATGAATAGATGGCATTGTTTGGTTAAACCCTTCAATCTAGCACATAGCAACAGGACAACTTCTTTTGAGTAGCAGGAATTAGATCTGCTCATCTAATTTTAAGAGAACAATCATCAAGACTAATCCTAAATGACAAACAGAAAAAAAAAAGGTATGGAAGAATCACCTAAATACAACACAATAGCAGCTTTGAAATAAGCTGAGACATGAATCTGAAAAGTGTGACAGCTTAAATCTTTCATCATCCCTGATATCTGCTGATTATTAAAGACAATAAAGTGACCCACACACAATCCCTATTACCACTCAACAAACATCCATTTTCCTCTGCGAAGTTTCCACTTCAGGCAATATCAATTATCAAGGACTTCTCCACAAATCTACAGCTCTCCTGCAACAAAGTGGCCGGTGATTAAAGCCCCAGAGCTGCTATCACACTTAATGCAATGAGGAAAAATAACTGATGGATTCAAAAAGTCAAGAAGAACCTTACAGAATGAATACAAAACTTCATGCGGATTGGAACGTTTCCATCAAGTATATTTTACATTTCGCCTATACAGGTCACTATTTCTTTTTGGGAAAAAAATGGCAGAATCTTTTATTATTGTAGTTAGGATTAGGCAAAATTAAGAGATTTGTGGACTATAATAGAATATTTATAACAGAGAACACAACCGAGACAAAATGGCTCACACTCTACTTAAATGACCAGCAATTGTTCCAGTTATAGTTGATAAAGAGAATAATATATTTGCCAAAGAGGCTTAGGTTACAAATGATCTTAATGTAATTATGAATCTTGTGTGGATTAAAAAAAATGTACACCCTGTTTGAATCAATTTTAAGTCATATGAGATAATCATCTGATCCAACCTCACATGACATTCCACAACATCCTTTTTTCCCCTCTGAAACAAAGAACCAACATGAAAATCTTTCATGGAATTATAACATGAGTTAATAGGATTATATAGCCCTTTCAAATAATTTAGTATCCTTCATTCAATAGTAAGAAAGATTTTTCACACTTGTGGAACGCTGAAAACGGTTGTCAGGCTTACTAAGATATTGGACATCCCAGCATTCCCAGCATAGTTATATGAAGCTCAGTGTGTGCAGTTCTCGGAAACATCTCAGACTCAGTTATGTCGAGTTCATGACCACTTGATTTGAAGAAGGTTCATCAAGTTCGACAGATTAATCTGAATAAACCCCTAAGACTTCCTTCAGACACATGGGACCAAAGTGGAGATGATTTGTCACGGTAGGTGGAGATGTAGGAAAATAAATGAACTAAATCCTAACATATATGTTTATCAGGAACTAATGATGCGTGACTTAATTTCTACAGTTTTTCATGTATACCTAGCTGTTAACTATGAATCTGAACCAACAATAACAACCACAAGATGACAACAACAAGAAACCTGATGAGCTCTGACAGTAACAAAGGAGAATACATGCAGGGGAAGCTAATGAGAAAGTGACTTCAGCTGAGGTTGATTGGACAGGAAACTTGTGTTAAAGTGGAGCTAAGAACTAAAACGGGGGGAAACTGGTAATAAACAGGATTGATGACCTGAGGTCAGAGAAACCAAGGAACGAAACAACCAAGTTAGAGTACGGAAAGAGAAAAGCAAAGAAACTCATTATCTCCTAATTGCTGAGAGCCGGGAAACTATAAAAGTAGAAACCAACAAAGCTTAAACCACTTCAGGGTTCCCACTAAGAAAAATACTTCTGGGTACTTCTGGGGACAAAACAACTGCAACTGTGTGTACACCATCCATTCATGTCCATATAGTGGGCAAGAGTCTTGTACTTATTTTTTTCTTTTTGTGTTTTGCCAATTGTCTCTGCTTACACATACCAGTAGTATGATTTCACAATAAAGTCATTGTGTATTGTATATTCATGTGAGATGGGGCCTGCCCATGCTTCTTTGCCCGATTAGCAGTAGCAGCACAGCAGAAGCCAATGGCACACCTACAGTAATACCAGCCACATAGCGAAGAACAAATCCACCCCGTCTACATGCTAAGTCATGAGAGCCTTTGTGGCAGCATGACAAAAAGTGATGAGAGTGTAAATTTTAATGTTTTGATGAGAGGGTTTTTAATGGCAACGGGGATTTTGGCTCCTTTGATAGTGTACTATAATGATGCTGTGACCAAGGCTGGTAAAGGGAAAATGGTGATGATTACTTAACAAATGGTTTCCAATCATCACATTTTGATAGACAGAATAAACAGTAAGAATTCCTGCTTTGATGGCAGTTTCGCTTCAACGTGCAGTACCCACATTCTCCAGCAGGGTGCAGCAGCTGATGTCATAAACTGGGATGGCAGATACGCCACATGCATGGCAAACTTTTGAAGTGACAAGAACACACAGTGATTGTGCATGTCACAGCTCTGTAAACACTGGAACTTGGCATGATATTAACACCAAACAAGATCCTTTTAATTTACAACTGTGTTTGACCTTAATTGTCTAATGAAAAAAAACAACTCATGAACATTCCTCACAAGTGATGAGAAGCTGAAGAGCCAATGTGGTTCAGAGAGCATGAAAAAATTCTGGATGTTTGATATGGGTTGATTTAAAAGGAAAAGAATATGAGTTTTCTCTTGTTATTTCTCAGGTGGAGGGGGAAAAAAATGAGCGACCCAATTCCAAAGGTGGCCAATAACACGCTTTCAGCAGCAGACATGAGAGCGCCGTGCTGCTGACATAGCTGAGGCAAAGGAAAGAATTTCGGTGTCAATTTGTCTTTGACAAAACAGGCCGTCTCAGTTCCAACATTCCCTGGCATCTACTGAAAATAGTTTTGAGGTTTGGTGGTTCATTTGGAGTTTGAAAAGTGGCTCGCACTGTGACAGCACAGTGTGGGGAGCTTCAGCGCTGGAGTGGGAGGGGAATTTTAAAGATAGGGACTCGAGGCAGCACGCCTAAATCTCAGATAAAACACTAGGATTAAGAGCTCAAACGCGATGAACGTGCCAATCCAGCTGTCTCCAGGGTGATGCCCGTGTTTACCCAGCTATTAATATCAAATCAAATCACCACACACTGCCTACCAACAGCCAGGCGAGGGAACAGAAAGGACACTGTGTTGGAAGGGGGAAAAGACAAAAATGTAAAAAACGAGAGGGATTAAACTTAATTAGAGAAGGAGAGCTAACAACCGACTGAGTTATAGATTAGAATAAGAATGAAGATGAGGTGATGAAACACATGCATTTCAGCTTCTATATTAAGACAATTTACTATTCTCCTTAGTCTTGTGTGCACAATGCCCATGAATTTAGATAAATTTAGCTTTTTGGGATCATGCAACACGTGGCTTCTGTGCCTGAGATCTTTAACATGCAATTGATAATAGCAGATAACTGCTAGATTTTCTTAGCCAATTCAGATATGTCCATGAGAGAATCATTGCAGGCCGGTGCAGTAATGGAGATCAGACACGTCCAACATGGATTTCTTTTAGCATATTTAATCCTTCTTGCAAGGTTCTCTTTCAAATCACCAGCACTTTGAATTACCTTTTGTGCAATTTGTGCTCTATAAGTAAACTCCTCTTGCCTTGCCTTCCGTATTCATTTCCAAATTGCTGATAATTATAAGTCAAAGCCACATGTCGGCTGGTATTTTGACTACTTTAAGAAGGTCACACACAGGCAGGTGTCCAGAATCTGAAAATTCTCCCTGAACGTTTGTCACCAAACAGTTCTCTCTACAAGCTTTCTTGGTTCTCCTGACCTGAACCTTCTCTACTCCCTTTAATAGTATCGATTTTCTCAGAGCACTCCCGTCTTGTTAAAGGCTTTTCCTGTGTTATGAGCATGAAATAACTTAACTCTCTGACTGACATGCAGCTGCTTAGAGGTTTCCATGGCTGGCAATCCCGGTTAAAGGCAAAGATGAGTCAGACTTAAAGCGTTGTAATTTGCATCACTTGGCCTTTCCTAACAATGACATTAAAAAAAATCCAGTCCTAACAAGTTAATCAAAGTGTGAAACTATGGTGAAACTTAAGAGTAGCTGCATATGTGTTTTAATGCCCGAACATTTACAATGTCTTTTTTTCTTAGCTTTCCGTCACTTTTAAAGTTGAACAGCATGATTCTAAAGCAAAAAAAAACAAAAACAAAAAAACAGAATATGGTTTTGCTTTTGTCAGATCTTCAGTTTGTGTTATGTTGTTTTCCTCAATCTGTTCATTTTCAGGTTTGATCTCATCATGACGTTGTGGTTGCATTGATTTTTCATTCTGAGATTTCCCTTTTTTTCTACCTAAACCCCAACAACCACCGGCATCGATAAAGTTTAATCACATAACAAAGCATCATACAAAGCTAAGCCTGAAAGGTTGTGTCACTGGAACGATTACACTCCCCTGACAGCCTAAGTCAGCCGTTCACTCAGAACCTTTCTCCAACCGACTGAGCATTTTAATGTTGCGTTTCAGATGGGTGATTTCATGACAGAAAGACCAGTGTTTCAACTTTTATTTGTAAAAATATTACAGTTCTAGGAAAAAACATTATTGCACACGTCTTAAATTAATTTACATGCCCTTAAATCTGTTCAGCTATCGTACTACTTGTTCTTCTGTCAGATTGTGCTAGCACTCGGGTAACACGGCAGGTCGGTTATTACCAGTGTAGAACCGGTTATTGGGTTTAATAAGAAGAATCAATGGGCAAACACAAATGAGCACGCTTATGTGTACAGCCGCACCGTGTCATCATGCCAGTGCATTCTGTTCTCTGCACACGGATCAGAGGCTGGCACTGGCTTCTGGAGACCTGGAGGGTGACCAACTCCAAGGCACGCTCTCTCACCCCTCATCCCGCCATGCCCCTCCTGACTCCCCCTTTCCCGCTTTCCATCTTTCGTCACGCTGTCCTACATCGCTTCTTTTCCTTGCACGTCATTTTCCACCGACCGCCACAGGTCACAGACCTACGTCATTACCTATTATTACCTGACCATCAAATTCCAACATCGACAAAGTGTAACTTAAAGGGTGCTAAACTTCTAGGATGCTGAATTCCACTAGAAACGCCTCTACATATGTACACCTCTCCTGTCATGTTCTTTCTCGTCTCATGCCTACCCCGCTGCTCCCTAATAGGCCCTCTCTTTCTCTTTCGCTCCTAGGTTTCAGCCTCTCTGCGCCTCCTGGGACATGGAGCGGCCGAGGATTTTGGGTGCTTTGACGAACTCCATGCGGGTGGGCTTGACGGGCGGCAGGTCCTTGGTGATCTCGTCCACGGACCTCTTGCTGGGACAGACCCCGTCGGGGGTGGGGAAGGGCAGCAGGTCCTGCTCCGTGTGCGGGGCTCCGCGGCCCAGCCTGAGGCCCAGCTCCGCGGGCGTGAAGATGGGCAGTGGGAGGGTGTTTCTCTTGGGCAGCAGCTGGTGCTCCTTCACCCCTCTTTCCACGGTGCCCACCCTGTAGACCCCGGAGGGGCAGGACTGTACCAGGGTGCGGACCTGCCACTGCCGGGACAGAGTCTCCCTTCTGGAGATGTCGTTCATGTTCATGGTCTGTCTGTAGGCAAGATGGAAAGACTAGAGCTTGAAATGTGCGACTCTATTTACGTGCAATCCTTGGAAATGACGATTGGGGGTGGGTCTCACCTGTCCTGAGGCTGGGTCTTGAGACAGACACTGATCCAGTCGGCACTGTAGCTCTCCCTCTGAGCCTTGTTCTCCTCCCGCACACTGCAGGTGAGCTCGGTTCCCACCACCACACCGTCGCTCTTCTCCAGCACGTTGCAGAAAGGCATCTTCTCTGTGAGCTCTGTCTCAGGCGTCCGCTGGCTCTTGTTGATCAGTCCTAAAAGGCACTGTTGTAGTCAGATATTTGTCCACAAAAAAAAAACAGGATTTCTCTGCTGGCTGTATCCCCGCGCGGTCTCTGTGTCTCTATGTGATGTCTGCGTCTGGGCTGGGGTCTCCTCTGCTTTTATAGACGTCCTGTTGCTATTTCTGATTTGTGTTGTCATTCTACAATCAGTCTGCGCTGACATCTGACACTGAATCCTCTGAAGCTCATTCCCGGACAGCTGGAAGCCAAACTCTGAGGGGGCGTTAGGGGTAATTGGTCTGAAAATCCCCTTATTCTCAGATTGTTTACCCAATTACCTTGTAATCAATCAGTCCAACACTTTCCACTTCAGCTGTGATCACAGAGGGGATGTATCGTAGAGGTTATGGACAGAGATTATGTGGGCAAACACAAAAGAAACACAACATGGCTTCAATGTTACCGGAATGTTAACAAGTGTTTGGATTTGATAGACACGAATCAGCAGATAACACCTTGCTAATGTTGAAATGTTCCAGGGATTTGGGTTCTGAAAAGGTTTGGGCAGGAGCAATAAGAGCGTCCGTTTAAAAAGTCAGATAGCAACATTATAACATTCTCTGGTTATTCCAGTCACGAGATAGTTAATCAAGAATTTATGCAACAGTATGGCCTCACAGCAACATTGAACCCTGTCATTACAGGCCAGTGAGAAATTCATCCCAAGTGATTCATCACTTCAGCGCCAGAGTGCCACGTAAGCTGTAATCTGCTCAGGTTACCCCCCGTGGAATGTATACACACATACGTATACACACAGACTCACCTTTGACAGTCATCCGCTGGTTTGATGTTACTACCGCTCCCTGTCACTGACTCATTCATCCACTTTGGGTCCTGATATCATCACCCGGCAGGTATCGCGTGTCACTTGCAAGGCATAAAGTATCATCATCATCTAGATGACTCCATGTCCGATCGATCAATCAAACAGCAATAAACGTGTCCGGGACTCAATTAAACACATTACCCAAACATGACAGTAAATCTAAGGTCATGATGTTCCATTTCTTCCCTTTACAGACATTCCTTTTCACACTTTGAACGTTCGGGGCATCTGTTTAATGTTATTTTTATTTGCCTGTCAGGAGCAGCGATATTTCACTTTTCTTTTAGAAACTTATCAGCAGGTTGACGCTGCACATGCTAACTGCTCCTACCTGTCACACCGAGAAAAAAGTGCGACCACAGGCCTCCCTGGGGTCACACAGTGAGTCATGTTTTGATCCCATGGCAACCATGAATGTCATTTCAGAAACCTGGTAAGCTTCTGAGCAAGACCCTGCTATGTCGAGGTCACATCTTTTACTGTGATGAAGTTTAAGAAGCATTTGACCTTTTCTGTATTTCAGCCAAAATGTGACAACAGACATCATCCGATTTACACAACTCTATTTGAAACATACCTTTGATTATTATTCTTAATTTTTAAAAATGGTTCCTGCTCTAAAATAACCCAAAGAGGGACACAGCAAATCGCTTTAAATCTAATCTTAAACAGCAAACTGGGGGAATTTTGAACCCTGACTCAACTCCTTTCGGGTCATCCCAAAACATCCCTGGTGGATTAAGGTCAGGACCTTTTACATGGCCACTTTTAAAACATGAGAACAAAGCCCCCTTTTGGTGTAACAACTGTTTCTGAGCCATCCCTGACCTCTGATCCCTTTGCCCCTTTTCTCCAGACCTCCCCATAACCCCAACTGCCAGCTTCCTCTGATCCCGACTGAACTATTGGCATCAGCTCTTAAAATATCTTGTGCACTCAGCAGATGCTAAGGTTCAATTCAGGCTGAAGTTTTCTTGCAAAAGAAGAAAAGAAAAGTTACCCTAACACCTTTTTATTTTAAGGACAGCTTAGAAGAAACCATAAATATGTTGTAAAAAAACGTTGTAGATGTAACATGTATTGTAGATCAAAAACTTTGTCCTTGTGTTTATCCATATTGTTTGAAATAAGTATGTGCATTCTGAAATTATAATGCATGGAATTATAATGTACATGATCACAGCTAAAGGGCAAAAGCATCCAAACGTCACTCCAGTTTTGAAAGTTAGAAATATGTGCAGGCTGTGTCAGATTTGAATGATGTAATGAGGAATTTGCATTGAATGCCTTCCTTAAAAGGCTTACAAATACACACATTTTACATGTTTGTGTAGTTAAAAATAATATTTTAATAAATGAGAGTTTAAAACTTTACCTACATGAAGGGTTTTGATTTATATGGAACCAAACAAATTTAAGTCTATAATTTGATGCTGAAAACACACTAAAAATAAAATGATGGCTAAGAAAGACAGAAACATTTCTAAAATATAAAAGAAACCCCATTCTGTGAGATTTTACAATCACTAGAGTGCCTGGAGACAGGAGAGGGTGACAGCTTTGACCATAAATGAAAAAAGCCAAACAAACTGTGTGCTAATCTCTGTGAGATAATCTTAGTATTCGCATGAAAGTAAGTTTTACCTTTCACCTTTTCTGTGCGTAATGTTGAGCAGAATTCAGGGGAAATCGCACTAGGAAAAAGTCGGGGCTGAAAACCATGTCTGTGACCTTGGAGCTTTGAGGTGCCTCTGCAAGATAAACCTTCATAACACCGGGGCCGATATAGCCATGCTGGCTTAAAAGCACCTTGGAAAGCTATTGTCACTCAACACAATCCACCACCGCACTCAGATATGAAACCTGAGGCTGTATTACACAAGAGAGAAGACATACTGGAAGGCAGATTCATTTTACCTTTTTTTTTTGCTGGATCTTTTTTTTTTTTTTAAGTATTGTTTTATCAAGTTTAGGCTGGACAGTAATCCATCTTGTCACAGATAATTTTACCAACACCACATTTCACAGATGGGATTTTAGTATAATAGAATTGTCTTATCCTTCCTCCAGATGTGTTACTACAAGCATAAATCAAATGTTGTGTTTTGGTTTTATTTCTATTTCTTGGTTTAATTCCTCTATGGCTTGTCTGTGAGGTCATGCAAACTACAGACAAGCTACTTCCCTGCAGCACCACGCTGTTCTTGTTACTGTTCTTTGTCTGTCGATCACGCGACAGGGCAAAGAGATCTGCTTTGAAAATCCTCCTTTTGCACACAATCTAGCAGCCCAATGTTTGTGTTCAAACTATTTGGAGAGGGTTCCGTAAATTATTCCAGCAGAATGAGCACTTTCAGCTTTTCACTAGAAGTCATTGGGACTATTCTTTGCTTGTTTCATGATAAAACTAAAACAAAAAGGAAAATCATTTTGACTGCTGTTTTTTTATATATAAAACAGAACACCCACACTGGGCTGATTTAGTATCACCACAAAATGATCTCTGAGGTTTTTTCCACTCACTCTTTCACTTTGAAATACTGGATCATTGTCCTGAATAAATAAGTAAGAAAATGCAGCCTCATTATCTCTTTGATCAAACATTTTCCATCTACTTTCAGATAAAGTAATGTAGAAAAAAAAAATAAAGGGAGCACACTGCCACTTCTCATCTACAGGTTTTGGTATATATTTAGCCTATATGTAACGTATACATGGAGAACATAAGATGGTTTTTCCTCTCAGTTGTTTTCGTGTGCGTCAGGCTAGGCTAACAAAAGCAAAGGGAGTGGAGCGTCTGGAAAGGTGAGCAGTGACGAGCTACAGCCTGTCACAGATATCTCCCCCTCTTGTCCTCGTCCCACCGCCCGCATCACATCGAGCTCAGCCAGGAACAACTTTGTGTTGCATAACAACACAGCCACAGCTGCTGCAAAGTGACATTTAAATGAGCTGTCACCTAGAAGGAGACAGGTAGTGGGAGGGAGGAGAAGGGCATTGCAATAATAAGCCCCGGTCCAAATATTGTGCAAATGCGAGTATGTGGGACTCTGTTGTGGCAGAGGAATGAGTTTAGGAGGGCGGCAAGTTGTCTCCAACACATGTTAGACTTACACAAAGTTAAAGGCATGAGCATGGGGAAAGTTAACTTCCGACTGATTCCTGCACAAAAGCTGTAACTCGGCGGTGGCTCTTCTTATCCGTGTCTTTCTTGATTAAACTGTGCTCAGACACGTGCCCTCGCCGGAGTGTCTCCCCTTGCATAACAACAACAACAAGCAGCTGATCACCAAAACACCACTGTCACCAAGCATCTTGCAACCCAGTCTGGCCCCAGTGGGACGGTCAGACGCCGGACAGACCTCACCAGATCAGTCTGCAGATCAGAGCCAGCAATGAGCCACGTGAGGGCACACGAGCAGGTTAGAAAAGGCCTCGAATTGCACTAATTGTACTAATATAACTCTTCCTCTGCCCTGTGCTAAAAAATTGAATGTTTTCAGGCTGCAAAGACTAACAAATCAGTTGTTCTTTGGCATTTGTGTTCATTTAAAGGGACAGGAAACTACTTTGCTTCATGGCACCATGTTACATCATACTTTTTGTACATATCACACTCACACTTTGATGGACAGATAAAAGAATAACTTATCATAAGAGCTTTATTTCATCATGAACACATACGCATACTGTCACATCTACCAAGACATTTTTCACATTTTCCATAAACTGTTGGAAGGTGTAACAACCCACACATGCATAACATGAAAGTCTTCTCAGTCACACGAAGAAACAATGAAAGTTCTCCATACAGAACTGTTTACATATTTTTTTTCCATCTGTTACTCTCCAAACAAATTTGAAGCCAAATGCACACCTTGAGTTAAAAAATGTGAATCCACAAAAACATTTTCCTGTAAAAACAAAACGTCGGGACATCAGATTAGTGGTTATTTGTTCAGCATTTGCAAATATCATGTGATAGAGCCAAAGACGTGCTGATAATCACAGGACAAAACATTGCAGGGCTCTGTTGAAAGGAACATCCCTACCCTGAAGGTTCACAACAGCTGAATGCTGAAAGGCAGGAAAGGCAAAGGCAATTTTTTTACTCTTATCTGAAAATTGGGAAGAAAATCTTTCAGCCCGAAAAAAAAGAAAAGAACTTGAGGTGTGCATTTGGAGGGGTTAGAAGGGAGCGGATCGGCCTAAAATGCAGCTGCGACACAGTGCAGGCGGCAGCAGACACCTGAAGGCGACCAGGGCTGATGGCTACTGCCACCTGCTTTCTGCCGGCCATTACTGCAGCCGGAGGATCTCGTCAGTCGCTCAGGTCTCTTTCGCTCTCGTCGTCGTCCGGGGCCCCGTTCATGGCCTCCACCCGGGCCAGCAGCAGGGGCAGGTTGATGGCCAGGCCCGGCGTCTCCTCGTCCGATTCATCCGTCGGAGGATAGAAGCGCCTTGCCTTTGCCAAAAAATCTTCGGCAATATCGAGGTAAATAAGGCGATCCTGCCAGGGGGTAAAGAGAAGGAACGGCGTGAAAGTGGGAGGCTACTGCGAGGAAACTAATCAACATCATTTGGCCGTTACGACTCTTTATTACAGAAATGCTAATCTTTTTCTTTGAGTTGGTGTTTGGAGTCAATTTGAATGGTCATGACTACTCCTTATCGATCCCTTAAACAAAGGGGGCATTTACCAACAACAAACCATAAGGTATAGGGTTAGTAGCTGGATCGGACAGTAAAATTCATATGAAAGATCATTTTGGCAAACTCTTAGGAGTTGACAGTGATGGAAACCTGTTGTGCAACAGGTTATGTTCTTTAATGAGAGACTTTGGTTTGCAAAACCTGCTACTACTATCCTAAAAACAGTCAGTTTCAAACTCAGATTGGTAAGCCCTCTCCTCTCACCAGGATGAACAGATATCTCTCTGGCGGGGGCTCCCTGGAGCAGAAGATGGAGGTCTCGGAGTGCAGCGTCTGCAGCATGGCGCGGGCCGCCGGGGCGTTGCGCATGCGGTCATGTGAGGCCCCAGCGGACACCGTCAGCAGAGAGTCGGCCTCGGCCATGAAACCTGAACGGAGGGCGCCGATTAGCTGTTTGCAAAAGCAGCCGAGTGCTCCGCTAATCAGAGTCTGTCTAATCATCCGTCCGGCTTTACCTAGGTTTTCCAGGATTGTCTTCCATTTTTCTCGGACCTCTCGGCGTACGTCCCTCATGGCCTCGATGTCAACACTCAGACGTCGATAACCCTAAAGAAGGAAAGTGCTTCACGTTTAAGGCTGTTTTTTTTCTCTTCACATGAACATTTGGGCCGGTGTTCTTCGTTTGCTGGAGCGATCAGATCGTTGGTGCGGGAGATGGATGACATACCGTGGATCCCATGCGGGTCTTGCTCCTGGCCTGAATCAGGGAGTGAAGGGTCCTGTCATCTTCTCTCTCCGAGTGGCTGGGGTCTCCCGGCTCACTCCACAGATTGGTCTCTTCATCTCGCCTCTTCTGAACTTCGCGTGTAAAATAGTCCAACGGATCCGGACTTTGGAGTCAGACGTTAAACACAACAGTGACTTTCACGAGACATGCGAAAAAAATCTCACGGAAAAACTTCTGCCCCTTAAATGCAACACAACAGGTGTGTGAGGAGGACCTGGACACATACCTCACTAAGGGCTGCTTTTCGTCCTCTTCATCATCGTCATCTGCGCAGCAGCAGCAGCAGCAAAACTGCATGCAGAACTTCTTAAAGGCCGAACCCATCTATCGGGAAAAGAGTCAGGTGTTCACAAAGTCAGACGATCCAGGTGGAAGGCGTCTTTGATTTTGAACGGTGGAGCACCTTCTCTGCCCGTCTCGGCACCCTGAGCAGATTCCAGCAAAGACTCTGCTGCTTTGCTTCCTCTTTGTGTGTACTCTTCTTACAAAAGTAGACCTAAATCACACTTATATTTCACAGAACGAAAAGAACCAGTAAGAACAATGATGTCATTGTATTGATGAGTTCCATTTGAAATAACGTTCAGGCTTCATTTTCAGAAATGAAAAATAACCAGAAAGTAAAATGAAGTTATAATACAAAGCTGTCCGATCCATAAATTGAACGGTTACCTAATTTTCAGCTTCCCATTTTCCAGTTTCTTGCCGCTGCTCCTCATGCAATCAAAGTTTTTCCTCCAGATACTTGTCCAGACGGAGCCTGTCAGGACAGAGAAGCTCGGGCAGATGGCAGCCCAGGGACTGGCGCCTCTCCTCAGCCTCACATGAAGGACAATGAGAGCACTGAGACGTTTGCTCTCTCATCGATAAAAAAGAAAAAGGGGAAAAAAAGGAGAGAAAAAAATAGATATTCATAACAGAGCCATAGATAGTCTCAGAAGACAGTCACAGCACAATCATGTGAGCTGCTCCATCTGCCATCCTAAGCATTGTGTTTTGCCCCGAGGACAACACATCTCCTCTGCAGCATCAGGTCTATTTAGACATGCTGTGTCCAATCCACCATGGCTGTATTGATTCAAGGATTACTTTTACTGTGCACAGTTCCAGATATCCACACAGAACTTAACTTCGTCTCTATTTTAAAAGTGTTTCCGTGAGAACTGTTGAAGGGCTTCATACTTTTAAATGGGCTCTGTGTCCATGTGTTGACAGAGTGAATCTCTTTACAATGGGTTGTGGGAAAGTAAGCCAGAGAGGGCTGAGTGTGTCATTGAGGCTTGAAGAGAAATGAGCAGTAAGGCCGTAACGCATGCGGCCCGGGTCACAGGGTGCCAATGCTCATGACACAAACACATCCATGAGGACGTACAGCAAAATACACTTATTTAGACTTCCAACAGGTCATAATTAGGAGGCAGGCAGTGGGATATTAATAAGATTCAGAAAAAGGAATTAAAAATGGTATATGGACTGTAACCTTATGGCCCTCCTGTCTGTGCATCATTCCACAATTTCCTCAATGGTATTTTTTTTAGTGTGCAGTTCTATGAAATGCTATGCAGTGCTCCTTTTCTATGTAAGACATTTATTTACAGATTGATGCATCTTTGAGCAATTTGAGCTTCTGTGTCTCGTTCAGAGCCTTCGACAGGTGACCCGAAGGAAACAGGAGTCAGAGCAACTGTAAAGTACATCAATGTAGAAGCCTAAAACACAATGACCATTTCTGTTGCTCCGTCCAGATAAGTTATTTAACTTAAGAGTTACAAATGACCCAAAACATCACGAGTTCCATTAGTTTATTAGACATAAGACATGGTTAAGACTCAGTAAAAACAGTTGGTCAGTTGTGATGGCTTTAAGCATGCTTGATGACAAATCAATTGAAAAGCTTTTCAGCAGAAAACAGTAACTTAAACACTCAAAGTAGGCTTTGTTTGTATTCAGTACAGTTTGGATAAAGACACTTGAAATTAAACTGCATGAATCAGACGTGTAGCAAAAGACAAGGCTGATGTGTAATATTGCTGTCATAAAGGCACATATATTTCTTTTCAACATTCTCTTATGTATGCAGCTAAAGAATCAATCCTGAAAAATTTGCCATTTAATATCGATAACCACATATGTAGACTTCATGAGCATAAATCATTTCCAACTATGACTGCAGAGTCAACAGAGACCATAAAGTAAAATTCCTCAGGACCATGTGGATATCACAGTCAAATCCACAATATGCTCCTTTAATAGGAATGAGCAAAGCCGTTTCGGGCCTCTCTATTGAAAGCACAACAAACTCTCTGTCTCTGGTTCAAGTCTGTATCTTGAACCAAAGGCCAAACCTCAGCTTTCAGCCACATTTCATGAGCGATTTAACTAGGAACCGTGAGTCACATCATAACACTGATATGAAGACTGATGTGACACTGAAGCTGTGGAGGTTTCTACAAGGCCCCGAGCTATGTTAGGTCGAATTACAGTTTTATCTTTAATCCCAGGCCCTGAAAGACCGTCAGTAGGGAAGTGGTCAGCTTTTTTCCCCCCTTTCCTATGATTGGTAATTATTTCAGCTCCTCACATAAAGGTTATTGGCACACACACACAAAACAAAAGGTTCAGTCACACTAAAGCATGCTAATCACAGTCTTTTTCATTGATATCATAAAAGCTGCGTTTTCTTTGCCCCTGTAATAGCTAAATGATAGCTGGCAGACTTTCTTGCACTTGGGAAAAGGAGGTGGGACAGAGCAGAGAGGCTTTGACTGTGTCCACCAGTGGCGTCTCCCTCTAGTGGTGAGCAGGCACTTGGAAGCCCCTTAAACCAAGTGTTTGGTAGAAAGTTCAGCTGCAAAGTGTAGTTGTAGTCGTAAAACTGAGAAACTTTTAGGAGACTGTGGACAAGAGATGATGTGCTGAACACCATTTTTAGCGGTGCCACTGCAACGGTTCTTCTGTGACACTTCCCTACTAGGAGTCTTCTTGTTTCAGTCAAGTGTGCGTCGAGTCTTTGTGTGCATGGTGAGACAGAACGAGAGGTCGAAGGTCCACACAATAAATGTGCATGTGATCGTGGTTTAAAAGAATTACAAAGGAGGCGAAGAAACACAGTCTTTCAGTCCTTGCTAACCCTTAGTGCTCCTCATCTCAGTTACAGTGGGACCAGGGGGGTCTCAGAGGAGCTGCTGCGCTCGTTCCGGGGGCCTTCAAAGAAGGGTGGTGCGCCCTCCCAGGGCATCTGACCCACTTTAAATGTGGTGATGGAGGTGGGAGTGGTGGGAAGGCCGCAGCTCGGCGATTCGCTGCCGTAAATAGGACATGAATTCAAACATGGTGGCAGCCAGGCTCTGGTGGATGAGGTAGCGGGGCAGACGGCCCTAAAAAGAAAAAAGAATCATAGTAAAGCTATTTCAGACTTAAGAATTTGTTCACTACTTTAATAAGTTGCCCGATTGTGTTCTGGGAAACACAGGTTATTATAGATTTCTCCATTTAACAGACAAACACTGGTTTACTTCCAAATCTAAGTGACTGATTCCTACCTTCAAGTCTGTGTTGAGGACCCAGATAAAGGTGCAGACAGATGGGTTACAGCTGGATTTGAGGACCACAAAGCCTCCAGGGCCATTTTCTCCCCTGAGGTACCCAACACAAAAAAAACAAAAAACAAAGATGGGAAGTTAAAGAAGTGCAAACGGCACAACTGCACTTGATGTTTTAATCTGCTGGACGGGCAACAGCATGGCTGTAGGCACGGTGGTCTGACCTGACGTAGCGGCCACAGGGGGGCTTGGAGTCGTGGTTGGTTGCCATGCCAGCAGACAGGTAGCAGTCTCGCTTGCGCTCCACCCTCCGAACATTAACAAAGTCCCTGAAGGGAGAGAAAAAATCTACTTTACTTTGCTTTACTTAAGAGTCCTGGCACAGACAGTAGAGAGGAAAGGCACAGGGAGGCAGATGTTTGCCGTGCTGATGTACCTCGCAGACACGACTCCCCCAGCAGCACCAGAGGAGACATCATATGACACCAGAGTGTTGTCATCGACCCTCTGAAGGACCTGGGGAGAAAGCAGGGAGCCGTGTTCAGCTTTACTCTGCACATTTTCACTGTTAAAGAAAAAAAAAAAGAAGCTCAACAAGACAAATAGACCATTCACCTGGCAGGCGGAAACCGTTTTGTTCCACTGAACCATCTTCTCTGGTTGTAAAATCACTTCCTGATACACCAGCTCGGCAGGACACTGCATTAAAGCCTGAGCCAATCAAAAAAAGGCGGTAAGAAAATCTAGAAAGTCCAACATGACCAAAAAGACAGAGAGGAAGGAAAGCAGACTAAAATAAATCTGCAATTCGTGTATTCCAGGCAATGGCAGGCAGAATTTTAAATAAGCAAGAGCTTTTTTAACTCTCACATGGTTGTGTATGATCACTTTGCTGCTGGAAAATCCCATCCTGCCATTTACTTCCACATATGAACAATAGCTCAAAGACATGCTGGGGCCCTGGACAAGAGCACGATCTGTATTACAGAGCATGACTCTCTCCATTGAGGAGCGCCAGTTGCATGTTAAAGCAAAAAAGAAAGTCTAGGAAATGCCGTCAGAAACCTTTGAAAAACAGAGCCCTTCAAAATGGTTTTAGTCATGGTGACTATCTGAATGTCTCCAGAGAAATGCAAAGCCACTGAAAGAAATGAATTATGTCACGTTCAAAAAACCCAGAGAGAACCAGAAATACGGGCTCGTATCTGATCCATTTGTCTCAATTACTTCACTATACGGTCTAAAAGTTGTTGAAATGCATAAAGGCTAATCACACGTGAAATCCAAAGTCACCAGAGGATTTTAAAAAAAGAGCCTGATCTCCCATTCAAACAGCTACAAGGGAGGAGACCAAGGTTGTTTAATTTGCAGCCATAAAAAGCCAGAGATGGCAAATTTTGGTAAAAAGCAAGAGAAAAAACAAACATGAAAACTTAAAACTCCCATGAGAGCATAAGAAGTTAGAACACGAGTCGCTTGCGTCACTGAGGCCCAAAACTGTTGAGCTATGTGGTCTCACATTTACTGTACCTTGAGAATAAAGGTTTTTCCGTGGTATGGAATTTCCAGAGTGTAGACAGAGTCTCCCTTGTCCTGTTGCAACATGAAACACAGGCTCAGAAAGCTTTCACTTTCACTTTGATTTCATGTAGAAAAGATCTCATGTGCAACACACCAAAACAGAAATCTGTGTTCCTCATATGTAATAAAACCATCTGGGCAGAGAAAAATGCTGAAAGACCAGAGCCGAGTCTCGTTTCCATTCTGAAGCCACTAAACTGGATCTATGAAGGATTCGAATCATTCGATCTATGACTCACATGTGGTTAAAATGTGTTTACTTCTTATGGAAGAATGTCAGCCATGAAAAATCCCAATGGGGAATTCTTTTTTAGCTGAACAGATGAAAGAGTCTTCAATGATGAAACTGTATCACTATATTACATATTACAAGTCAAATTTATGGAACAAACACTGATTTTATAATGGTTGAACTAAAATAAAAACATCCCGTTTTAAAAGGCACACATAATTAGAGTAATTATGTGTGGTAAAACCATTTATTGGGGATGAAAAGCACCCCCCTAAGGCTTAAGACTTCAAACGTTACGCATTTCCTTATGGATAATAAAAACCAAGTCATTTTGGATGATCAGGTCACAATACTTTGCTCTTGTATTCATGAACATCTTCTAAATTAACTCCAGCTCGCTCACTCTGCATCAGCTTTGAAATGAAGAAGCATGTCACTGCTAAGTCAATACGCACGTTGTTTTTCTCAAACTTCCAGTTGTCCTCCTGAGTGAGGATCTGCTCTACCACCGACAGGGCCTCCCGACCCTGTCTGACATACTCCTTCTCCTGCAGCCAGCGTGAGAGGAGGAGAAAAAAAATGAAAAGAGGAGCAGGAAATCATCAGCTGAACAGCTGCAACAAGGTTGTTGTTTTTCTCTCGTTCGTTTTTTTTTTTTAATACATGAAGACTGACGCCGGTACCTGAGCGGTGACAGCTCTGCGGCCAAGCCCCTCCTCATCCAGATCTTCCTCAGAGCCTGCACACACACACACACACACACACAAGTTCAGGGTCGGTTTGACGCTCCAAGGAGGAAACTGGACAGAGGCTCATCCGCCCAGGCCGTCACCTGCAACGGATTCAGGCGGAGAGTAGAACTGCCCGTCCGACACGGGGCGGGGGTAGATCATGGGGGCTCGTTCGCAGGCTGCGTTGACGGCCGCCAGGTAAGCTGTGGCCAGACACGGAGAGCAGGGAAAGAGTCAGACCTTTGACAGGGCGGCACTTTGAGCGCCGACGATCGCGGCTCACCTCTTTCATCGTCGGCTTCCTGGGTGAGAACCTTGAAGTCGAGAAACCACGTCTCCAGCCAGGCTACCACAAACGAAGTGATGGGCAAAACGTAGCCAAAGGCATTCTGGGACAGGAGCTGTGCAGAGACACCGGCAAGAAGAGGTGGTCATTTCTAAAGCTCCCAAAACAGATGCGCAAGCCACACGCTCCCTTTTGATGTTTGCTTCCTTGTTGCAGAATATAAAAGTTTTATAGAGCCAGAGGTGATAAAAGGATGATGTGAAACTGGGGTCATGCAAACAGAAACGCTTGTTTGATTTGAGCTGCATAAAACAGTAAGATGAGACAGAGAAATGACTGTCAACGGAAGAATACAGAAGTGAAAAGCTGAAGTTGTTACAGTTGATTTACTGACACCACAAAAAATACACTGAACTGCGAAAAGGTCGATAGAAAGAAAAAAAGGCAGTGCTCACACTAGACACGATGACCTTGACGACGAGGGAGACGCTGGTCACCAGAGTGGTCACCTGCAAAGGAGGTCTCAGCTCTGACTCAAGTCCCAGGATGAAAATGAGATCTGCTGTGTTTCAGTGTGACTGAGGTGACTCACCGCGATAACCCACCAATGCTTCAAACGAAAAGCTGCGTAGCCCACTTGTAGACACAGGAAGCGGAACACGGCGAGGAGCTGAGGCGAGGAGCAGGAAGCAGATGTGACATCAGAGATTCAACATCACTGACCATCATTATATATTAATACCATTAGGATTTCTGATGAATAAATCTCCCCACACCTGATCGGCACCACATGCTAACACAATGTTTAAAGAACCCAACAAGGCTGAAGTCAAACAAGCAGGATAGACCCACTTACAACTATGTCAAAGAAGGAAGACCTGAAGTTATACTGGACGACCTCTTTTTCCAAACTGTCCCAGATTGTGCTGGAGATCTGGAAAACAGGGCAAAGTGACTTCCAAGGTATCAAAACAAGGCAACACACACACAGGTCCTCAAAGGTCCACTCACATTCAGCTCTATGATCCAGAGAAGTGAAATGAAGAGGAGGTCGAAGGTGACAAAGAGGCAGAAGGTGCGGCGGACGTCGGAGATGGCTTTGCGCTCTGCAGGGGGGAGCAGCAGGTACGGGGAAGGGATGGACAGGGATGTGGAGTAGGAGGCGTTCAGGGAGGCGATGGCAGGGAGGCTGCCCCCAAACTCCCCGTACTCTCCACCCGGCATTCCTGTTGTGGGACAGGAAGCTCCCCCTGAAACGACACCTGTGGTTAAAGTGGTCCCTATGCATTACGCCACCAATAAAAACGCATTCATTCATGCCACAAAACAGACAAGATGGATACTAAGTAGTTTTAATTCATTATAGGGATGATCACTCAATGCCAAAAGGAGCAATCAAAGACATAGCATCAAACGTAATTTTCTAGCTATCCCTCCATCAATGCTGTATCCTTGTAAAAGCCAAGGTAGAATCTAATATATAGATTCAGCTTACAATAATTCTCTTAATCGTCATAATATTTTCTTGGGTGAACGATTGCTGAATTAAACCAACCACACCGTTTCTACACCCTGGGCTACAACTTAAGTGAAATGGTCATTTTGAGGTGTGTCATTAAAGTAAAAAACAAGATACTACTACTACACTACTCCACTACTACAGATCTTAGACAAGCTTTTTAAAGTCTTAGGATATATTTAGTCTTTTTAGGCCTGTCACTTTTCATTCACACTGCATCTTGGCCAGTTTCCTCATTTCTTAGGGTTGCATATAATGTTGAAATCTAAGTTTTAAACAAGTACAACAAGAGGAAGCTCAAAACCTTATTAAGAGGGATGTGATGATGGTCTCCCACACAGATGTAGAGTGCAAAAAAAGAAAAAGAAAAACACATAAAAACCCAGTCTGTATTTCCCTCAGCTAGCCCAGACCAGTGTCCCATTGTAAATGAGTGAATCACAAATCAGTCAGGGAGCCTCAGTTATCACTGCAACCTCTCGTAGACTGCATGTTAAGTCTGATAAATAGTGTAACGGCTCATTTCATAGCATGTAAAAGTGTTGTTGACACTTTAAAGAACTCGGATCACACTTGACATGATCCCATGACTCACGACTCGTCACCTCAGCTACAAAACAAACCACTGACCAACATAACCGAACTGTAACTTTAGCAGGCTAACTATGGCAAACGCTATGACCAAATGCTACTTAAACAGGAAAGATAATAATGAACTGGAGCACATGTTAGATTCATATGACTTCGTTTAACAAGCAAAGATAAATGTCTAACTAGTTGGTAATCAATATTGTTAGCTGTGCATGCCAGCTCGCACCGGCTAACTTACCTCTCATTCCAAATAAGTTGTTTTCACTTGCTAACTGTTACGGCATGACAAAATGCCAGACATGCTTCTCATTCTTCAGGTGGATTGCAACGGGAGCATATATCATGAAAAAACGATAGGTAAATTGGACTCAAACCCCGTTTGAAATTGTTCACATAATAGATTGGAGACCTTTAAAATCAATTAATTCACCGTGACATTATCGCCTAGCAAGCGTCCGGGCTGACGTTTCAAAGAAGACGTACGGCAGCAGGAGGCTAAGTCACATGACTGCGAGCAGCCTCGGGTCACGTGAATGAAGTCACCAATCACCGCAGTGCTGAACATACGCCACAACCCGGTGCACATACATTTACGGTTTGTACAGTTCTAAAACTTTTTTTTTTTAAATAAAAAGAAACCTAAGCTTTGTAAAAGGAAATCCATAACGTGGTTTGAGTGATTAAACGTCCTAGCGTTTGCCAAATTTAGTGTGGAACACTCAGACAACCTTTGACCTTTGAAAAACGTTCTTTAAAAACTTTATGTAAGGCACAGCTGCAACGAATTATTAAATTGATCAACCGTTGGTATTGGCTTTATTGGCTTTAATACGTTTTAATAAGTTTAATTAGTCTATTGGTAAAATAAGTCTCTTGTTTCAAAGACAAAAGTAAATGAGTAAATTGCTTGAGGGTTTGTTTTGTTTTGTTTTAAACAATGACAAAAACACGTTTAATGCATAGAAATAGACCAATTACCAAACACCAACTTTTCTTCCTAAGATTTGCTCGGTGAAGGGCTTCGATAGTTTCTATTAAGTTCATAGTCCTTTCAGCAGTCATTTCGGGCTCAGTTATTGGTTCTGAGCGGCTTTTGAGAAGCTTGGTGGACACCGTCCCAGAATTCCATGGTCGCCATGGTTCCTTCTCAAGTGCATCACTGCAGCATCAATTATAAACAAACAAAAACACGAGGAGTCCCACTTCACCAGTTCTGAAAAATTATCACTTCTGCTGAAGAAATATTACATCCTAACAGGAATGAAAAGACTCCCAGAAGCTGACAAAATGGAAAATAACAGGTTTGAGCATTTCAAATTCCTGTACTCTTTATTATGTTTTTCACTAAGTATTACAAAGTTCAGCATTCTCTGCTTATTCAGGCAATCAAAATCTATTAAACGAACACTTGATATAACAGGTGTTATATGACAGGAAATGCAGTGAAGTCAGTTTTAAACTAATCTTACAAAAACATTATGTGATGCTTCCCAGTATGTGTTTTCCTGTAAAAATAGGCCAAAGTAAAGCTAACCATCATCTTATTCTAACAATTTGGCCTGACATTTTAGCACATGGAAATTGCTACAAAGGCTTCAAAATCCAATAATATTTTCAAAAAGGGGACACAAGTCTTCACTGGAAAGATTCCCTAAAATTTCAGCTGTGAAAAATTGGATTATGTACAGAAAATATCCTAAAAGTCAGACAACTCATGATGACGGATCAACATTTCTCCTTGTGATGTAGTTTAATCTTGTCATTTAGTTGAATCTCAGTTCAGAACATTTTTCTCTCCATACAAGGTACTTTCAGGCAATCAAAATAAATGACATTAGACCCCTAACCCACCTTCATTTTCTGACCCTTTATAAGTAGTTTGTATGTACATTTTGAAGTCCAAACCAAAGTTACTGACTGAGCCCAACCAGAAATACACTAAATTGAATCCTAATGTTTACATGCTGATTTACAGCCCCCATATTTCTATATTTTTTTTACAGATTGTTGTAAAATCGGCATCCTATTTCAAGAAGAAAATTAAAGTATACTTAATAGATCAGAAAGACAAATTGTTACAGATTATATTCATTTCATACATAATAGTCTTTGCTAATTCTTTATAAATTTCATAATGAGATGATTGCTCTTAAGGAACAACAACCTTACACAATTGAACATCCTTTTAGTTTAAAAGCAATTTAATTAAACCAAACAATTGGTTAAAAGATCAAATAAAACTATTTTGATGATTAATTACATTTTATTACCCATTTCTAATATTTTATTGATGTATCAATTATTGTCCCAATTTGTAAATCCACTCCTCTCATCTTGCGCCACACGTGATTAAATTATCTGCATTTAAACAGGTGTATTTCAAAGCACTAATCAAACACACATTTTTAAAAATTAGAAATATATACACTTCATATGGTATTCTGATTTATTACATGCACTCATACAGTTTCCTAATATTTCAGATTCCAGTGACTCACCCCAAAATCACAACCAGAATGTCCCTCCACAAAATCTTTAACTAAATCCATCCATCCATTTTTCATACCTGCTTGATCAGGGTTGCAGGGGCTAATGATTAATAACTAAAAGGGAATTATTAACGCCCACAGACATTGAAATTTTGCATGTCTTTGTTCCCTCGAAGAACACATATGCACAGACAAAGTGTTGGATGATTAAAGGAGAAAAGAAAATGAGTTTATTTGATATCATAAAGTTGCTCACTGTAAAACAAAAACATCACAATCGGGAACAAGAAAATAAATGGAAAATAATAGAGAAATAGAGACAGAATGGGTATATAGTTCGTACAAGTCTTTTCATGGTTGTTTTCTTCTGACCTGGGGGTTGAGGGGAGATGTTGGACATGGTGGTGAGCGAGGGAATGGGAGGACAGCTTTGGCTGCAGAGCTTCATCCAGTCATCATGTCAGAGGTTAAAAACAGTTCCACTGAATTCTATGTACAAACAGCAGCCCAGATTATATAAACAGCACAACGTATTTACACAACTGGAAACCTTCGCACACATCAGTTTCTGATTTAAATGCTAAGTTACAATTCAAAGAAATGTGCTGACTAAAGACATTTCAGATTCAGCTGAACTCAGGAGAAAAAATGTGTTATCGGTGGTAAAAACAGCGCAGGGAGTCTTTACAGGGCTCGTTTTGTTCAAACGTTTGTTGAACGGCAGCTGGCTTTAACCTCTTGGAGCTGCATGCCGCAAACTTGTGATTTCTGTGTATTTGGAGATAAGCAGCTGCTGAGCTCCTCCTACACTTGACTTCAGATTAGAAAAATAGCTCTCAACGCAGATCCATGACATACAAATCACGAGGAAACCGTCAAAAAAGATGTCGTTACAAAAGAGTTGATATATAAAAAGGGCCCATGTGAATCCTTAAATGAGGAAAGATTTGAAATGTAACTTTTCATTCCCAAACTGTTTTGTCAGTTTATGATGACTCCAGCCCAAAAAACTAGGCAGGAGGTGGCTTCTGGGAAAAACTGATCCAGCTTTGTTCTTTAAAACCTCACATACACTAAACAAAAGGCCCAAAAAGATTTAGCTATTTGTCAGTCTTGGATTTGAGTTATTCCCTAAGCCAAATCTTTTTTATCGTATTAGCGTAAGTCACTCTTATGGAAAATATCCATTATTACAGCCATTGTTATTTTTGGGGGGCTTTAGAAAAATATGAATGAGCCTTTCAAGTTCAGCCACAGAAACATCAGCCTAATTACAAACAGTAAATCTGACAGAATTGGTCTGTCATGAACACTAACAACTACTCTACGGCGGAGTAATTAAAGAATATGAATGCATATAAAGGCTTTGGCAGAAGAAGTGTAGTCATAAAAGGAGCATAAATTAAAGCAGGGTTTGATGTCATGACACTGTCATGGATTAGAACTGAAAAAGTTACAACAAGTGGCTGGAGTAGCACTGTAACCCTGCAGATCCTACTTCCTACCACAAGGTGGCAGTGTGCATTCGGGGATGATCAAGACAATGACGTCCGTGTTGGGTATCCAAAAAGCTGAGAACATGTCACACAATCTAAGACATTTAAGTGCTTTTATAAAAGTGTGGTATAGGAGATAAAAGTGAAAAGGAACTAAAAAACGTTTACATGTTTAACCCTTTGGCCTCTTTTAAGGAACGTTTAGTTCTGAGCTCCAGAGTTTGAAGGAAGGAGGGTGGTCTTTGCATGGTTTTTGGTCACACTGACCTTAGCCCATCCAGTTTATACAAACAAAGGGGCACTACAGCCAAAGTGGCGTCTGTAGTCTGCTATGTCAGTAGCTCATTCCTCACCTGCTCATAAGATCTCCCAAATTCACAAGTTCCCTCTTTGTCCCCCATTATAAAACCCAGACCCTTTTGAGGTGAAGTAGTACAGAAAGCTTTACTCACTCACACATTCATGAAACTATCTATCATTCAGTCCACTCACAGCTCACAACTCGTAACTGCGACTCCAACCATTTCTTAATTTCTCTGAGTGCTTCAGATTTTAACCATTTCCCGTCTTTCTCCCCCATATCTCCCCTCCAAATGTTGTCTTCGCTCACTCTCGGTTGCACCCCCGGCTGTTCTCCTCAATTTTGTCCACCTCCTTGTCCTCCTCCTCCTCGTCTTCCTCACGCGCTGCTTCAATCTGCTTGGCCGTGTCTCTCACGTTGGAAAACTGTTCAGTGGTGGCTGTCTCTTGATGATCTGGGGACACAAAGGCAGCTGTCAAAGAGCAGCACTGGTGTCGTCACAGCTCATTTTTGTACCAACAGAATCAGAGCCGCAGGGGAATCCACACAAACTGGTCTAGAAAAGGTGGATTTTATTTAATGCCTTTTTAAGATGCAAATTAATTTGATAAGCTATGTTGTTATTATTATTATTATTATTCTGTTTAGCTACTATAGCCTCCGTAATCCTGCTGACATTTAGAGCCTCTACATACATTTTGAGATTTGGCTGCCTGACAAATGAATGTTATTTGGGCTGTCCCACATCAAAGTTGATCAACCACAAAAGAAAAAAACGGATGACTAAATGAAAGAGAGCTTGTTGTAACTATCTTGTGACCAAGAAAGCCAGAACACACTTTTGATGGGGACATGAATTCACAGCCATCTCACAGTTTTTACAGCAAAACCTGAAACTGAAACCATTTTAACCAGCTTTGAAAGTTGTAATCTGAGTTTGCACCATGGGACTTTGCCATGATTCCCTAACTCGAATTGAAAGTGTAAAACACCATTGTGTCTGCATTCGATGCGTCACGGCGTACGCCGTCACATCCTCTTTCCTCATCTCACCACCGATGAGGAACCTACCAATCCACAGAGCATCTTGCAAGAGACTTAAAGATTAAAGATGTGTTACATGGTCCTTTTCTTATCTGTTATTTCCCCTTTCATTTTAATTCCATGGTTGTCTGCCGTGCTCTCAACCAGACGTGGTCAGCATGAGGAACACAGAGTGCATGTTTATGACTGCAGAATGCTTTTTTTTCTCGGCTGTTGTCATTCTGCTCATGACACGCCATTCTGCTCTGCAGGAAATGACGGCCTGAGTTTAATTTGTGAAAGAACGGACAAAAAAACTTTTATTTCGCTTCTCGACTGTTGTGTATCAATTTATGAGGGGAATAAAGCTAAATAAAAAACCTTGAAAGACCTGGCAGCTTCTCACGTTCCAGCATATGATGAGTAACCACCTGATTATATAACTCGATTTCCTTGTTTTGTCTTCTCTCTGTGACCTCGCCAGCCAGGGACGAGCCGGGCCGACAAAACAAATGCAATGTCGTAAAAGGGCCCAATCAGAATATTTAAGGTCCTGCTGGTGGACTTCAGCAGGCTTGCACAAAGGGATTAACCGGGAAAGTCTGTCATCTGGCTTGAGAGAGCAACAATTCCGAATGAAATGCCACTGTTCCGCTGTGACATAATAGAGATTATAAAACAAACAAACAAACCAAATAAATAAATAAATAAAACTCAATTGGCAAGTACACATAAAAAGACTTAGGTCATATCAAGGTTTGTGTATCAAGGATTTTTTGGGAATATGTGCACAGATATTCTTTTTTATAGCTTAATCTCAGCCACAAATATTTGGATGGAGTGGAGGACTGGGCTGGATTGTGACTTCTGATCGTTAATCTGTCTGACCTCCGTCTGGCTAAGGTGTTCTCGCGGGGCCGGATCTCAGCTCTTACAGATTTTGGGTGACAGACAGAGGGCATTTACGACACCAGAGCTGTCACTGGACACATCACTCGACTTGTGCAGCTGGTCAGCCCACTGAGTCCTTTGAGAACATTTTAACGCGCCAACTCACGTCAGAAGGGATTTAAGAAAATGAAAGAACAAAACCATCTGTGTCCGTTTTGAGGTGGATGATGTTGATTTATTACCTCTGTCGGCTTTCCTCTCTTTTTTTCCTCCCTCACTTCTCTGAAGCTTCTTTATTTTTCAAGTCATTTGCGCGCCAACAATCTGACACTGTTCAGATGTTAAAACAAATTCCACCATAAAAAGCCCACCTTTATGAAAACATTTGGACACCGTCAGTCCGGGTGTTATGTTAGCTAAATAAAAATACCACAAATGCTGATAAATAAACAACACTATTGAAAGTAACCTATTGCCATCATCTTGACAGTCCCTATTAGCCCCTGTGTGATCCACACAGCTCCTGTCAGTGTCTGCTTTGGCTGAGTCACTTCACACTCGACCATGTTGAAAGTCACAAACAGACTAAAATGGTTTAACATTTGAAGCATAAATGCTGCATGGGAAGCAGAGATTGAAGAAATATAATATGTTACTATTTGACATTGCATGGATTCAAATTGTATGTGTTTTAAACACAAAGCATCCCATTAAATTGTCATGCAACTAAATCTAGGGATGTTCTCACATGAAGGGACAGCTTACAAAAAACAAAAACTAAAAAATATCCACAAGATATGATTTGTTGACGCACAACAATATACAACATATGATTTACACTAACAAAAAATGTGCCCCCAAACATAAAGTCTACAATGTGATATAGTGTCCAAAGAAGTCAAAGAATTGTGAAGGTAAATACTAGTTTTAAATGAATGGACGACCTCCTTGTACACTCTTTTTATTTTCGTGGGTAAGCAAACATAGGCATTAGATGTTATCATGCACAAAAAACACGGACACACAAGAAGTAAACATGCTGTCATAATGACAAGTCATTTAAAAAAAAAAAAAGTGATATGATGTGAATTATACCCAAGATGATGAGTGGATGAGTTAAGTGGAAGCAAAAAAGCCACTCAGATGAATTGCATTTATTTAAGTTGTGCATGAATTATCGATCATATTAAAGACAGTTGTGAAAGTGACAAAGTCCAGTCCCATGACGTTAAACAATATGGGACCAAAAAAGTAATGGTGACCTTTATTCATCCCCCTGATGGACCAGAACAGAGAGGTTTAGGCACCGCATCAAAGGGCTTTATTGTCACCATATTAAAAACTAATGGTCATGTTTTGGGATTTATGAAATTCAGACTTTTAATGTTGGTCCAAATGAGAGGTAACCTCATATTTTCCTGCTTACCAGTTGTGACGAAGCCCTGCTATCTGTTAAATGCACTAAACGCTGTGCAGGAATGAAGGAAACCTGCCAAAATCTTTACTTTTAAGGTTGTAGTAAATGTCAAGTCAGTCCCTGCAGTCATAGCCTCTAAAGACACCAGAGCCACAGCAAAAAAACAAAAACATCATCACCTTCCTATAAAATAAATAGTTTTGGCCACTGTGGTGATCTTTGTTGGGGCTTATAAACAGGCTAAATCCTCTTTGAAGCTGCAGTGAGCGTGTGAGCACACCGCAAACTGTCACATCATGTCACGCATGCTCTACTTTTATATACAGACAATATGTTTTCCACTGTTTGCTGCCAAAAGCCATGTCAGTTCTCTTTTAGCAGAGATAAACTCTGTGGTTGATCTTCCTAAATAGGTATTTTCCAAATTATATGAATAAACTTAAGTTAATCAAACTTAGGTTTAATCATGATCAATGTTCTGTTACTTTACTAATTCTTTATCACTGTTTCCAAGGAATGGAAATCATATGAAACAATAAAAAGGTCAAATCTTGTTAGGAAAATTTTGAGGAAAGGAAAAGTGGGCCGTTCATACAAAATGGAAGGAAAAACACACCATTGGACGTACAGCCTGAATTTAAAACATGTTAGGACCTTACATAAGATGTAAATGAAAATATATTGAAATTATTTATTCATTATGGAAAACATATCAAGTGTTGAAAGCAAAAAATGTAATTTCTTCATAGAAAATATCGGCTCATCCCAAATTAGATTACAGCAGCTCATCTAAAACTGTTGGGAAAGGTATATGCAGTTTATTTTCAGCTGATTGATGTTGGTATGACCCAGCTTATCTTTAATTACTGAGAGACTCTGCTTCTCTAAGGTGCTCTCTCTATTGTCCTGTTTCAAATTAGTGTCATTAATTGCGGTTTGCTCCCTCAGGTATTTCATCTTCGTGCCATTTAATGCACTGACTTTTTGCCGTCCCAGTCCCAACTTCTTTTTTTTCAAGGTGTTTTGCTGCCATCAAAATAAGTTCAAAGGTTTCATTTTTAATTAATGTTTTATCATTATTAATGATTTTTCTGTTTTCTCTTACACAATACAAACGATGGAGATTAAATATCAATTTCAGTGGCCCTGGCAAATGATATATTAAGAAAACTGTAGGCTCAAAGACAAAGGCTATCATATGTCTCAAAGGGTATTTTTCCCTTTTAGTGAAAAACATTATCATCAGTGTCGGTGTTGATGTTCCCAGGCGGTCCACAAAGAGCCTCCCTCTCACCAGCTGTTTGGCCAGAAGATGCATCCTCCTCATCCTCATCCTCCTCACCCTCATAAGAGTCTTCCAAAGGATAGACACCTAGGTTCTGCATATGTGCTTCAGCCATCTTCTGCACAGCTACACACACACACACACACACACAAACAGGGAGACACGTGGACACAGACACAGGGATAGAGGGATATGTTGTTCCGGTTTCACCACGCTTCAACACTGTCAGTTTTCATCAGGCCTAACGGCGGCTTTTGGACAAACGCCAAGCGAGCAGGAAGCCAGTTAAGCACAAGCACAGCCAGCAAAACAATTCCACACACTGATTTTTTTGTTGTAAAGTTTGCACTGTTTTCAGCCGAATATTGTCACCCTGTTCTCCCGACTGTTTGGACCCTTGTTTTCCGATGGCAGGCTGTCCTTCTCAGCACTTTCCGGCAACACTGATTCGGGCTCTCTATCTCCGTGCATTCTCATCTCTCCTGTGATGTTATCTCACCTCCCCCCTCTCACTTCTCCTAGGTCACCTTGGATTCTCCCTCTATTATTTTTTCACACCAGTGCAGTACCGAGGCAGGTCGCTATTTTTTTTTTTTAAGCTTTAAGGTAGGTTATGCAACTGCAAATCATGAGTTTGCTCTTTCCATCCCTCTCTGCATCTGAGCTGATGAAGGGCAGATTCTAAAGCAGGAACCAGACTTCCAGGCTCATCATATCATAACACACACCCAGGGGTCTGTATTCACACAGCAAAGAAACAAAAGAAAGAATCATATATGTTTTTCAATCCTGCCTATGCATGTGTTCCCGCCCCTGTGTGTTTATGCCTCGGCTGTATACATAACTGACTGTAATCCTGGATGATCCAGACTTTCCTCGACTCACACTCAGTGTCTCACAGCTGTCACACTAATCTCTGTTTCTCCCTTTCTCCTCCCATCAAACACAAATACACTAAAGCTGTTTTTATTGTATATGAAAGGCAGAAACATATAGAGCCATAGAGAAGCATACCAGAAATGCGCATGCAAAGAAGAAGCAGAAGGCCTCGAATTGCACATATAATCGTCTTTTTTTTTTTTTTTTCACCTGATATTAGAAAGTATAAGAGAGCAAGAAGGACGAAGGCAGCAGCAAAGCAAGGGAAAATAAAAGAGGACAGCAACACGAGGATGAATCACAACACACACACCCGCCACCTGCAGAATGGAAGCTGCATGTACCCACCTTTGAGTGATGGAGGCTGATACACATTTGGGTTTACTCGTTTTGGTTTCAGGACTCCGTTCTCTCCAACAACCCACTGTGAAGAAAGGGATAACAACATGAACCCTGATTTTGTCTCTCAGTTTCCCTGTGAACAATCACTTTATACGAGCTCTGTGGGCTCCAAATGTTTGGAAAAAACTCCTGTGCAGAATCTTTCCTTCACAGTGAAATATTTTGTGATTGTGCTTTATTCCATTCAGTCTTTCTCATCTGTGGGTCAGTTAAAGTTTTTTTTCTGCTGGATCCAAACTGACTCCTGCATCACTTGTTATGCACTTCGCATCCTCAAGTTGTGACGCGCAAAACAAAAAGAAGACGCAGCTAAAGAAAAAGTCGAGGAACACATTTTACAAGGCAACAAAAATAATTTAAATGCATTTCCTAAAAAATATATATATATATTTTTTTTTATGATAGCATCAGTCAGTACTTTGCATGCACAGTAGATACAAGCTGCAGTTATAAAGTGATCCGGTGTTTTAATTAGACTACTGTCCTTGTCCTACTTGTGTACATGCACAGGGTAATTGATTAATTGAATAAAGTTAGTCCAGCTTTCCGGTTGATTGATTCTGTCATTGACCAAAACATTTGACAAACAACTTAGCTGCTGTCAAAATGTCGCTCAGCAGTGAGTAGTGCAGAAATACAGTTCAGTTTATTTTAAATGAATTATCATTCTCACTGATAAGATGTACCCCATCAGTTCTACTTATTTTCTTCCAATGCCATCTCTGCCTTCAGCATTGATTAAATGCAACTGGCTTTTCTGATGTGATTCTTTATTGAGACTTTGTAATGTTTTTTCTTTATTAATTAGATTTTTTGGGTGGCCATACAGAAATAACTGTTTCTGGAATGTAACGGTGTTTTTAATTTTTTAAGTACTTCTGTCATCAATTATCATGTTTTTATTGTGATCTTTTGAGTCCTTGATTTGCTTGTTAGTTATGATTTGTGGCTGCTAAAGGGACTAATTTGCTGTTTCATTTCTTTATTGAAACGCCCTTTTTTTAACTGTTGTTTTGTTGTTTTCGTGCTTTTTGTGTCACTATTCATATCTTGTTAAATACAATGTTTTCAACATAAAGGCAACAACATGATCGTTGTTCAGTGATTTTCTCATTTAGGAGGAGAATACAAACAAAACATCTTTCAGCTGCGAGTAAAAAATGACAAGTCACACGGTTTTTATTTTGAAATTATTTTGGACATTTCATTGAAAATTTATCAAAAACTAATGGACCGAGCTCAATTTCTGATGCCAATGCCAGACATATTCAAACTTAAGACACACTGCTTATTTATCTGAGAAGCTGTCACTTTCCGTCTTCCTGCAATTATCTTTCAATCTCCATTGGCCACGCATGCAATACAATGTTTGCAAGACTGATTCAGCTCTTGATGAATATCAAAATTCAACTGTCACCACAGATTTTAATCCATCATGTGACAAAAATGTTTAATAGTAGAAGTTCTCATGTGTTCTTTTTGTTTCTTCTCATGACCATGAGGAATGTTTTCGGAGAAAAATAACTACAATCTTCAAACTACACATTAACATTGACTGTTGATGCTCAAAGTTTACATACACAGTGTGTGTGGGCTTGAACAACATCTGACAGCACGACAAAAGTTTGTGATAATGGGAAAGTTGAAGGTTAAAGCGGGATTTGAAAGAAAAGTCACAATGTTTCAGTTCACAGAGTTAGGAGGGTTTTCATTTACCTTGTTGATAAGGCGGGAGAGTTATGGGATCGAGGGAGAATCCACTGACACTTAGAATAAAAAATTGTTGTGACTTCACCTTTACCTGATGAGTGGACTGATCGTCATCAGGCGATGATTGTTCCGCTACTCTGAAGAGCGTGGCGGGTGTGGGCCTCCTGCGTCGGATCTATAAACAAGCACACAAAAATAAAGGGCAGCCATGAATAAATGAATAGCCCAAGTGTCTTATTAATAATTCCCAGCACACCGCCATTTCAATCAAGATGAGAATTCATTGGCAGAACGTGCTGGTTAATGGCACACTGAGTCCTTGCTGACTTAAGTAGTACTGTTGTTGAGTTGGTCAAAGTGTAGCCAACAGCAAGTTTCAACACGCAATACTGGTGAGGTCAACCCACATGCTGCGGTCAGTAGAGCAGATGAGGATTAATTTGAAGCTTTCTTATCCAACAGCCATGCCAGGATTACATTAATCATCACTGTTAACGCTATTCAAACAGGATTTCTCTTGTTTTTACAGCGTCTTTTCATGTGTATTAATGTGTTTTATCACCTATGTGTGCCAAATATAAAGCATTAAACACCCTCATAAACAAAATGGTCCATGGATAAATGGACCAAATGAGCCTCAGTCACATTCCAGCGTCTCCCCACATTCCTCCTTCGAGGCTTAATTCAGGTAGCTGGCACTTTGACGAGCTGAACAGCAGCTTTGTGAAATGGTCTCACTACATCTCTAGTATTAGCTACCTCTTGATATAGTGGCCTCTCTGTCCCTGGAAACAAATGTCCAGCTGTGCACCCCACCAGGCCAAAGGCCTTTCTGTGAGGTTGTGCTCCAAACCCGAGTTGATTGAATATGGGTCCAGAATGCAATACAGATCTTCTTGTAGAATGACAAAAAAAAAAAGAGATCTTTAGGTAGCAGTAAGTTGGGTGAAACAGTGAGAAAATAATTTTAGCTTTTTATGCTGTACATACATGGAATAAATTTCCCACTGATATCAAATGTGCCCCAAATCTGAAAAAAAAAAATCTGTTTAATTATATATGTAAATTGTTTTCATATTTTCAATAAAGTAATTTCAACCTAATGTGTCCTTAAAACATTTTGATTGTGCGAATAGCAGTTAGTTTAACTAACTTTAGTTTTACTGTATGCTACATCTAAACAAAAATTGTCGAAGAATTGTCAGACACAAAAAACTTTCTTCCTTTTTCACAGGAAGAAAATGCAACAGTCAAGTCTCTAAAATCCATGAATTAGGCAATTTTTGTCACAAGGCACCTTTCACGCAAACAGGAAGTAGGCGTGTGATAGTCAAAAGATAAGTCCTGGGTGGGGTATCGCTGTTATTTGAATGGTCTGAGCAGAGTGTGCGCAGCCCTCTAAGCAGAAAATGTCACAGGGCTCTCTGTCTTGGCTCATGTCAGCATGATCCTACGATTTATGAATAGCTGCAAGCAGGGAAAAATAACAGAAGTTAAGTGGACGTGGCGGGTGAAATAAACGGGGTATTGAAGTCTATCCTCCGTAGAGCAAGCCAGCCTTGGCCGTAATGAACCTGTGGATGGCTGTTTACAGCCCCACACGACAAAGAAGGAATAGAGCTAAGCATCCTGGCGTTATTCGGGGTGGAGCGGCTCCGTATGGAGAGCTATGCCTGTGTTTGTTGTTCTCCCGTCCTGCTCGTTGAGGTGTGCGTCATGGCAGTCGGCCGCGTGTTGCCAAAGCAGAGGCTTGTTGAGCATCGAGCTGGAAACCTGCCCCTGTTCAATTTGACAACACAGAGTAATCAACCATAGGTTTCACCCCCATTTATGACACCAGATACGCACTTTAATCTCATCATGCAACTTCCAGCTTTCCTGCCCGTCCTGGAAGTCGCACGCTATTTGTCTTTCTCTCATTCTCTTCTCATTTCCATCTCACTTGATCCTCCGCTTCCTCCATCCTGTTTACCTCCACATCCATTCTTCAATCCTTGACAGTGACATTATTACCCTCATCTTGCCTTTTCCTTTTAATCACAAATGTGCATCTCCAAATGTAATTTTCCTTTAGCTTTGTGACACATCTGCTTCTCTTGTCACGGTGCACCTGTACGAGGCTGCCTCTGACACCCATTTGTTACCCTGCCCATCCCCTGGAAGGTGTTGGGGTCCAGGGCAGCGAGCTGTTAAGAGACCTGCTGACTCTGCCTGCGTGACACCTGCTACCTGCTTTGCAGGGCGGCCAGAGGTGATTACACACAACCCACAAGTGAGGGGAGACACCAGATGTTGTCCCGTGTCCTGAAAAAGTAAGCATTGAGATGAGAAATATACAGAAACTCCACTCCTCTGCTTGCATTTTGCACTTTCTATGCTTTACCAGTAAAGAGGATCATTAGGGAGGCTGAAAGGGCAGTCGAATTAATCTGCGTTGAGTCGGATACCAGCAGATTAAAGCTACAGTCAATTACAATACCGAGATCCTTTCTCCGTTAATGAATGATCTATTATAAATTGTTATTTGTCAAAAATTACAATCGGTCTTAAATCCACTTATTGCCCCACTTAATCCTCTCTTTTAAAATGTCACCGAGTACAATTACTGAATAATGAAGGCAAAGTTAAAATGATTGTGTGGGATAACTGAGGTCATAGCGGTGCATAATCTGATGATCCATTTAACCGAATGAGTGCTTGCATGTAATGTGTAACTGGATGTGTGTAAATGATTCTAATCTAATTCATTCATCTTGTAAAATGGTAAAAACGGGAATGTGACAGCACTCGGTCCAAACGGCTGCGTGGTTCACAGCCACATAAAATCATAAAAGTGGATAAACTCGTAAAACAAACAAAGACTTTCTCTCTCTTTACGCAAATGCACACTGATGGCGGTAGTGTTGCTGGTGACATTGCTAGTGCCAGATGACATAAACACGCTATGACTCGAGTAATTTTCCAGCTTTAGAACCAACCCGCTCTGCCCGAATTACATAATGTCATATGTGACTTCCTCAGTTGTGGCAACAGTGAAACGCAGCAGCATGTGAGATTACTCAAACCATGCTTTATCCCCTCGTCTCCTCCCCTCCTCTACATCCCTAAACCCTTCTGATTCTTAGTTTCTCCACCATTCTGCCCCACTGGACAAATGTTTTCGTTCCAGGACCAGTTACGGTGGGTAGTCTCTGCACCGCCAAGGCCCCCCGGTCCCACTGGCGCAGGCTTTCCAGAAGGCATCAGCACTTTACCAGGATCCACAAAAAGCTCTGGCCCACATGAAAACACTGGCTCACCGATCTCAGAACGGTGGTACAGTGAGTTCATCTAAATCCGATGAAGGAATTTCAGTCATGTGCTGACTGCGCCCTCCTTGAGGACACTGGGAGACGGAGAACGGTCCAGATTGATGGAAAGCTATCTGGCAAAGCAATTTTCAAAACAACGCCTTTAACAGACATTTGTGTTTACATTTCATATCTCCTTTTTCACAGTTTTAAGCGGTGAAGAATGACTTCTGTACCTTTTCTGGAGGAGTGATAAATTCATGAGTCATCAGTACCTGGCCAATTTCCACTTTGCACAAACGTTCTGTGTGTGTCTGCTTGTACGTGTGTGTGTGTGTGTGTGTTGGCTCAGGACCGTCTAGGTTAGCAGCCTGGGTGCAGATTAGCTGATATGTGCCTGCTCCCCAAAGGCTATTCTTTAATCTGATGCTCTCATGCCTGGCCTATAAAAAGCGACTGCAGTAGGACGACATAAACTAGATCGGAGGGGTCTCTGGGGGCTCAGTGGGATGAGACAGAAAGGGTCTGAGTTTCTGTGCCGGAGCTCGACAGCCAGGGAGGTGTGCTGTGCCGAGCTGACCTCAACACGATGAAGGCACACTACGAAACACGCCTCGTTCCGTTTTTCTTTGTTCGCTAGAATCCCCTGTGTCCAATATAACCCTCAAATACATCAGGTCAGCTCATCCAGCTTTGAGTGTCAGCTTTCTTTGACATTACTCTGCACTAGGCCGTAAAGATCTGTAAAACTCAGGGGGCTTGGAACTTTAATGATTTAGTTTGCCCAGTTACTTGTATGGCCACCAAATGCCAATAAAAGCCAGATAACCTTAGTTTGGGTTTCGACTTCCTCATTTCAAGATCTAATCAGAGTAAGATAACTTATTTGTTATTGTCTGCTAGCCATTCCTAATTTTACATGTGCCCTTCACTGTTTTCTTCTTTTCCATTCACTGAGTATTATTTACAAGCCTCTAAACGCCTTCTCTTTCTAACTCAAGGTAAGCTGAACATCAAGTCCCCAATCCATTTCGGCTCTGCCCATTTCAGGGTTTGGTGGGTCCTGTTGCAGTTTTATTACATCTGCGCTGCTTTAATCTTTAGCTAGATTGAAGTCTAAAGAGCAACTCAATTAAACAAAGTCATGATGTCAACCCTTTTCTCTGAGCTATGCTCCCAGGCGAGCTTTTTGAACTGAAGTGGCAGAGCCTCATGTGGTGCTCTAAATGCAGTCTCACAAGGGGTTCCATAAAACAGCAAGATGGATTTTCAATGCAAATAAATGCCAAACTTCTCTTTTATTGAAGGTTTAGCTGGTAAAATGGATGTCAATCTCACAGTCCATCGTTTGCCCTTTGTTCTTTTTCTTTTTTTATTCAGAGGGCACAATTACAAAGACTAAGGAGTAACTGTTTGTATGTCATTGTTCTTCTGAGCTGCATTTCTTATTTTAATGCCAAGATAAACTAGGACAAACATTATCTAAAAAAAAGTGAAACCTTCATCTCTGATAGTGAGCATACCCACATTGTTCTTGTTTGTTTGACTTTTGGTTTGTTCGGGGAAGAGATTTAGACACACTGTTTGCTTCTTCTGGACTGAACTGACAGTACCAGTAAACAGCCCTCAAGATAAAGCTGGCAGATGATATAGTGTAACAATCAGAGGGCAATAATCATATATTAATGTGACAACCAGCTAATCTTATTCATTCATCACACCAAAAAGCGGTCCAGATAGCTTCAGTCAGGGTTTAAGAAACATTCTAACCGCTTATTGAGTTTCCAGCTGGTTTTTTCAAGGAGAGTCAAGGCCATTAATGCAAAAATTTCGACCACAACAAAGGACGTGTGCACAGTAGGCTCATTCGTATTCAAAGACACTGCTGAATTCCCACAAGCCAGGGAAGCTAATGCAAGTTGCTTCTCAACATCCACATAACCATATTGCCGAGACCTTTGGCCTCACCATC